GTGGGAAAAATGTAAGAGGGTGCATGTAAAAATTGAAAGGGAAAAAAAGGAGGTGTATGAAAAAGAAGGAGAAATTACTAAATAAAATGTTGGAGGTGTAAAATTAAAAAACTAGTGAATAAAAAATTAAAAATAATTTTTTTTATAAAAAAGAAAAAAGGGACGTACTTATAAAACAAATGAGGTGTATATATGGTGAGCCAAGTATAAAACTTGATCTAGGCCACAAAAAATAACTAAATAACCCAATTTAAGGTCGTACTAACCCACCCAACCCAACCAAAACCTACCCAATCCAAAACTCCAAACTTGACATCCTATTTGGGTCGAAATAGGCCTATAACATGTACATTAGGGGTTCTTGCAGTTTTGGACGTTTTCAACCCAAACTAGTCCACTAAACATTGTTAGTAGAAACATATTTCTTTAACAGAAAAGAGAGAATTTTATCTATTTTCAGTAAGAGTTGATTCTCCTCTTGTAGAGTTTATCAAGACATTCAAGTGAGATGTGCAGTTAATTAAGTAGTACAGTAGTGCCATTGCGAATGTTTGCTCACATAGTTTGACCATATTGTTACATCTGTAGGGTGGGGTCATTTCCTTTTCAAAATCTTTGTTAGAAAGAAAAAAATTGTTAAATGCTAAAATTCAAGGGGTTATTTGCATTAACTCGATAATAATATGACGCCAAAATGTGTTTCCTTGGTAGATGTTAACTAGTTGGTTAAGGGAAAAGAAAAGGTAAAATAAAACTAACCTCATATTCATTTTTAATTGAAAAAGATTTTTCACATCTTAGATACTACTTTTTAGTTTTCACTTTTTACTATCAAATACTAACCAACATTCAATTAGCGGTGGTCTTGAACATGGTTAAGGTGGACGAGCATCAAGGGTACCAATTATCTTTTAATTTATATAAATATAAAAATAAAATTTACAAAATTAAATTATAAAAAAATTAAGCAACAATAATTAATCAATTGATATGTGATGTTTCTATTTCTCAATCAAAATTTACTTGTAATTTTAGGAAAATAAATCAATGATGTCAAATATAAAAAGAAAAGTGTATGATATATAATATAATATATAATTGACTTATTTCATTTAATTTCTCTTATCTTATATTACTTTTATTGTTGATAAATAAGGATTGTCTTGAAATTTTTCACTTTCCCTTTATATATAATCTCTTTATTCTCCCTATATTATCTTAATCACGATCTCTTATGCTATTATCTTAATCACGATCTCTTATGCTATGTTAGAATCTTAAAATCAAATTAAAAATCTATTTTTGTTAGCCACACCAAATTTCTTGGTGATGTGCCAATATTGTTAATTTTTTTCTTCTATTACAATAAATTGAGAATTCAATGTGAATGTTTAAAAATAAGCACTCAAATAGTATTATTTAATCTCATTGTCATTTACTCACTAAAAATCCATAATTAGAATCATAGATTATAATTTAGTTTTTTTTCTATATTTGTCTAATTATTTGGATTTGAACATGTTGCACACAAAATAATCTTCTAATCATCTAAAAGGAAAAAGAAATAAACAAATTAAAATTGATATTGAATCGCAAAAGAGTACTAAAAATTTTGAGAATGAAAAACTATATAAGAATAATAAAGAACATGATATTTTAGCTAAAAATAGTAAAAATAAATATGATCATCATGATAAAATTAAATATATTAATATTAACAATTAATATAGTCACGCTAGACAATCTAATCTATATGAAATAACTTTAAAAGTGATATACAAGATAAATTACTAAAAAAATGATACTAAATGAGATATTTATATTGTGAATAATTCTAAGAATACTTTTGATATTCTAAGATTTTTACAATAAAAAAATATAAAAACAATACTTAAATAATTGAGGGTATCATGTTTTGGTTCGCCTAAAGCCGTAAAAAACTCAAGGTGGGCCCTAAATGTAGTTAAAGACATATAAATTTACTTTAAATTGTTTTGATCTGGACGATTCGTGTTTTGAATTGGCCAATTCATGCTGCTAGTTGTTAATTGCAGTACCAAATTGCCTATTAATAAATTGTTTTTTCCTTGTTTTAGTTGAGCTGAATAATGAAAATGAGTATTTTCATTGGTGCAAATTGGATAAACGTACTAACAAAATGCTTTTTTTTTGTATATTGATGAATAAAAACAAATAAAGAAAATTATATGAAATCTAAACTAACTTCATGCAAAATAAATTTTGGAGGACTCCTCCATTTAACAAACACTATACTAAATTTGGCTCTCCATCTGGCTAACCTATGAGCCACAACATTGTTCTCTTTAGGAATACTTTCACAATATACATATCAATTACGAGCCAAGAACTCTTTAATATTGGCAATAATAATTGTATGTTTATGCCATGAACAATCATATTGTAGGTACTCACAAATGGTAGAGATAATAGTTATACAATCTAACTCACAAAGAAGAAATTTAAACCCCTCTTTCCAACATAAAATGCAACCCTACCTCCAAAGCAAAAAGTTTTATATGTAAGGGGTCTCCTCCTTTGAACGAGTTTGCAAATTCTTTTTTTCATCTACCAACAACATTCCTCACCGCTCCACCAATTCCCATAATTTGAGGATTCTCTAGCCAACTTTGATCAACATTCAACTTAACAAAAGGATAATTTGGTGGGCTCCATTTGTCACATATCCACCAAAGAAAGGTAGACCTCAAATAGAATGCATTATGTGATACATATAATGTTATCTGTCTCACAATATAGTTCACAGTCCACGATCAATTTGTCTCAAAGATTATATGGTTCCAAAAATGCAAAATCTACCATGTCGCAACTGCCAACCTCGTTGCACCTAGATGATTAACCAAGTTCTTGAGCCATAATAGACATGTACTATAGATTCCATCCTGTGTGAACATCTCATGCAAGCTCCACCTCCACAATCGAACCTCATTAACTGAAAAGGAATTATGCAGACATTGCCAAAGAAAGAACTTCATCTTTTCTAATATAGACAACTTCCAAAGATGCTTCCATTCTAAAGTTTCGGCACTCTGTCCCTACGCCATAAAAAATAATCTCTATCTAAGTCCTAGCTAATTTGTGAGAAACACAAATTTTGTCGCTAATTGCTCACAAATAATAAGCAAGAAACAAATTCTCTCGCTAATGCTTCGCAAAATGTATAAAATATTGAATTTGTTTTGGCGAGGTTAAATTTCCTTCACTAATCCCTCACAAAAGAGAAAATTCTAAAAATTATTTTAGCGAGGAAATACTTTGCCGCTAATGTGTCACTACAATTAAAATAGTAAAGCTTACTTTAACGAGGGAAAATTTCTCTCACCAATCCTTGACAAAAGTATAGATAATAAAAGTTTATTTAGCGAGGGAAAATTTATTATATAATATTAATTACATATATTAAAGATAATATACGAGTATTAAAATAGTAGTTAATAGATATAGTTAATGTATTTTTTTAATTATAAATATTTAAATAAAAGCATTTTCATTATATAATATTAATTACATATATTAAAGGTAATATATGAGTATTAAGATATAATTTATATAAAAATATTTTATAATATCTACATGAATTAGTGTTTTATGATATAATAGTGAATTGTGTTATATATGTAAGGGATAAAAATATAATTTATTTGACATTTTAACATATGAAGAATGATTAATGTAATACTTATGTTACTTATAGAAAGAGAGCGTAATTTACATTAATTACATTAAATTAAATGTACTAAATTGTATATTTTAACATAAAAGTGTACTTAAAAATTAATTACATTAAATTAAATGTATTAAATTGTTAATTCTTAATTAATTGATAATATAATTTTTTATACTATCAATCCTATAAATTAAACTCTATCAATTACTTACTCCAAATTTCTCCTTTAAGAATAAATTTCTTGCACACATTTAATACTCTTGATTAGCAGACACCATTGATTAGGAGAACCAATATTAGTTAAATATATATATATATATATTTATTGTAGGTTTATTTTAGTTTTTTTATACTATATGATTATCTCTACAAAAAACAAGGTTTTCATGATACATCACCGAATATAAATTAGTACGTACTATATCTTATTCTTATTCATTACTGAATTTTATATATGTCAATGTCACAATAAAATCGTACGTGTATATTATATTAAAATTTTAGCATTTTTTTGACATCATAGATTTTTCTTTTTTTTATTTTTACAAAAAGTTATATAGCTAAAATTTATGTAATTTACATCATAGCCTTATCTAACTGAAATTAAGTCACGCAGACGGCATGAGGCGATGGTGGTTTTCTAACTGAAATTTCCCGCCATGGGGAAACGAGAATATAACAGAATGCATGACAAGTGTGAGTGTGAGTGAGACACTGAAATGAAGAATGCAAAAGCTTTGGAGCGAAGACGAAACCCTCTTTCGGATCTCACCAATTCTAACCCTTCCAAACCCAACCCCTTCCATCGTCGTCTTCTTCCTCTTCCACATTCAACACCACACGCGGTACTCTCTTTTTTATTCAATCACATGTTAACTATGAATTTTCCTAAATTCCACATTGCTATATTAACCATAACTCTTTCTTACTTTTCGAATTCCATGCTTTGAATTCAGGTACAGTTGGCCTTCATGTTTCTGAGCCAATTTCCGCATTTTTTTTTCCCTTTAACTTCAAATATTTTCAAAAAATAAGAGTAAATTTAATTTTAAAATAAATAAAATTGAATACATTTTATCAAATAAAAAATTAATTAATACCTTTTAAAATAAAAATTATGAAATTAAACTTAAGAAAAAAATTAAAGAATGAAAATAAATTTTTAGCAAATAAAATTAATATAATTATTAATAATTTATATTTTTATTTATATTATTTAAAAAATTTCGGACGTTATATAATAATTTATAATATTATTTATAAAACGTATATTATAAACATACCGTAAAAAAGAAATTGAAAAACGAATCACGTTCACCAAACAGCCACAGTTACTAATCCCTAATCCTCTCGTCAGTTCCTCTTGTTATCGTTGTAGAACAACGCCGACCACCTCCTCGAAGCACTCTTCATCTTGGCGCACAGCCTCTCCAGTTGTTCGTCAAGGAAAACTCCTACATCCCTCAATATTTTCAAGACCTTTGATCCCTCGGTAAGTTTGCGTTCCCCTTCTTGCAATTGATGTTCGCTTTAGTTCCGTAGATAGTCCTATACATAACACATTTTAAATTTTTTTGATGATTTGCACCTTTAGAAATTGTTGTGGTTTGGGTTTTTGAGATGAGGTGAACATTTTGTTATTGATGTTAGATAGGGGGCTGGATAAGCTGCTAGTTAACTGCATAACTTTGTCTCGTGCTGATTATTTAAGTTTTTTTTTTCTTTTGGTTATTGGATATTTGAGTGAATTTAGGTTTTTTTTTTATAAAATGTATGGATGAATTTTGGGTTAAATAAATTATGCTTCTTCTTGCACTTTCAATTAAGCCCTTATTTTTGTTTTGGTGTATGTCTTTTATTTTTTTGTAAGTGGAGTGGTGCAAAGTATATGTTGTTGGTTTGTGTATACAGGATAGTGAGATGGTATTGGAAAAAGAATCTGTTGGGTGCATATTTTATTTTTGGTAATTTTTAAACCTTATTATGATTTGTTCAATTTTTGTAGTTTCATCACTTTTTTAACCTATGACGCATCATTATTTTAGAGCATAGCACTGCTCATATACATATAATTTCACTAGTACAAAAATTGGATTTAAAATCGGAGTTTTAAGATCGGTTATAAGGTAACCGATCTTAAAAGTGACGCGGTGGCAATTTTGTAAATAATACGAATACTTTTAAGATGGTTCAAATTTAACCGATCTTAAGCTACTTTTAAAATCGGTCATAAAAGAACCGATCTTAAAAGTATCGTCAGAAACCTTTTATATTTCCGGATTTACCTCCAATCTCATTCTCTTTAATCTTTCCCTCCTTCATTTTTACACTCTCTCGCGCTCTCAATTTTTAAAGAGGTAAATTTCGTTGTCGATTTCGTTTTCCTCTTCTTGTATCTTTTGTCGTTTTCTCTTACTCTTTTTTTGTCTGTATTTTCGTTGTAGGTTCATTCATTTTGGACAAGTTTCAAATCTGGAACGGCTCGTTGTGCAAGGAGAACGGGTCGTTCTCCATGCAGTACGGCCCGTACTGCAAGGAGAACGGCCTGTTCTCCATGCAGAACGGCCTGAACTGAAAGGAGAACGGCCCGTTCTCCATGCAGTACGGGACGTACTGCACTGAGAACGGCCCGTTCTGATCAACGTTCTTCATTTTTTTCTTTTCACAATCTGGAACGGCCCGTTCCAGTTTAAATTTTTTTTTCTCCGTCAACTTTTAAAATCGGTTATTTTATAACCGATCTTAAAAGTTGGACTTTTAAAATCGGTTATAAAATAACCATTTTAAAAGTACATTTTTAAAATCGGTTATTTAACCGATTTTAAAAGTCCAACTTTTAAAATCGGCTTTTTTAAAATCAGTTACGGAACCGATTTTAAAAGTTAAAAATAACCGATTTTAAAAGCTTTTTTTCACTAGTGTTTATAGACATGTTGGAAACAGACACTTTTATACTCCACGAGTATGATCTTGTGGTTGACTTTTGGAATGACTAAATACTGATATCAGACCATGTCTTAATATCATCCAAGTATGTCACTTTTACTCTAATTTCACACACAGTTTAGTAACCTGTTTGGAATAAATAATCATTATTTTTGTTGTATACCCGACACAGTTTTGAAAATAAATGAATTATTTCCCTAATAAAGACAGTGCTCAAACATGTTGCATGTTCTATTTTGTTCTTTTTTGTTGTGTTGCTGTTCTGTTGAATTGTGTTTTGTTGGTTCTCTTTGTGTGTATTCTTCTTATGTTTCCATTTATTATGCTTATTCCTCTGTCCATGTTGTATGGTGGCAAGAAATAGAGGATGCATTTGTTATTGTCAAAATTCCTATTATATATATTACACTCTTTTTTTTCTTGATTTTTATTTTATATCTTAATCACTTTTAATCAACCTATAGATTTTCAAATGGTTTGACTTTATATGATTTCAACAGTGAACTAAACAAAGACACAGTGAATTAATTGGTTCATTCATCACATAACAGCAATACATCAACGATTTATCTTTTTCTGCCTTTGGTAAGTTACTCAAAGCTAATTTGTCAGTGTTTGTGATTATGCATGAATATATTGTGGACATGGTTTTAAGCAATTATCCTTTGTTTTGTTGAGTTTAACTTTTTATTTATATTTATTTATTTTCTATTGTGTCACCGGTAATGAGTTTCAGGGTTTCAAGGCATATAATTCTTTCTATTCCTGAAGTCTTGATGCATCGCTTTCTTTGCCTCATTAACTCTGTAAAGCAGTAACATTTTTTGTATATTTTATTGAACTGTTGCAAATGACTTTATTCTTAGATGGCCGATAAATTTTTTGCTTTGTATTCTGCACTAGTTATTTAGGATTGTTCTATGGTCTCATAATTGTCAAATTTATTTGGCTGTCAAATTGGCAGACCAGATTAATGGCCAATTATTCTCTTTTTTATTTATTTATTTTTTTTATTTTTGGGAGGAACTATATGACTTCTATTGGTTATTACTACTTGAAATCTACTCATTTTAGTTTGAGTAAGTTCTTGAAAAGTTAAACATAACATTGACTGGTGATGAAAAAATGCTGTGAATTGTTTCATGCATTAGCTTGAGCCTCTGAATGAAATGGTTTCCTAAAATGTTTTAAAGCTGATTAAAAATGAAATTACCTCAGTGCCTCCCTGTCTTGTAATTAAAGTTTCCATGTAACAAGTTGTTAATCTAAGTATTAGTAAACTAGTAATTTTGTTATTTTTCAATGCTTCAATTTCATCAGCTTTACACATTGAGGGAAGTTATAAACATCATCCTTACTCTTATATGTAATAGTTTGAATTCTTATTCTTAGTATCTGTTTAACACAATTGCTGAAAATAACATTTTATTCACTTCAGGCTCATTACATCAAACCCTGGGTAGTAAGTCATATACCCCTGTTATGATTTCAATTCATATCAAACAACTATTTTCCGTGTATAACTCATAATTGTGTCCAAAAATCATTCATTCTTAAAATTTATTTTAGTTCAACTTTTTATAAAAATAATTTGGTTTTTTCTAGTTTAATCCAATTTAGTTATTTATTAGTTTAGTTTTAATTAATTATTTATAACATTTCCTAATTATAACTTTTTATTTTATAACTAAAGTGCACTAAACTACTTTTTATAATAGTTTAGTTTTTGAAAACTAAACTTAAAATATAGTTTAGTTTAGCTTTTATCAAAATTAGTTTAGTTTTTTATAGTCTAATTTAGTTTAGTTTTTACAATAGTTTAGTTTAATGTAGTTTTTTGAACACCCCTAAACATAAGTGCACCATTTTGAATGAGAAGGCTAGTTGGTTATTCCACATAAGGATCCAAAAAATAAGTGCACGCTGATATGGGACCAAACTTGTTTCTTGGTTTTCGTATCCTTGTCATGTTTAAATCCTTTGTGGGTTATGATCAGATGAAGATAATTTTCACTACCCATGAGAGTTCGAGGTAACTTTGTAGCTTGCATGTGGGAAACAAATATTTGTATTCGAGTTGTTCCCTACTTACTACATTTATGGGTTTGTGTTGTGTGTCGTAATTGGTGTGTGGACTACTTAAAGAGGATGGTGTGATGTCTCTTTGGTTGGATGCTATTTAATATGGATGGTGTTACTGTTGTCTTTTTGCTTGTGTATTTACATCGCATGCACGCATTTATGATATGTGAAAGTGATGTCTTTTTAAATATTTGTCTTGCCAAGCAAATAAGAAATTTGTAACAAGTTTTCATTACAAATTATGGTGAAAATGCATTCAAAAGTGAAAATTAAGGGAAAATTGTGTATTTTACATCCTTGTTACGAAGAACAATAAAATATTACTACTTCTATTGTAATTTTTATTCTTATTTGGATGATTCATTTGTTGATGAGAAGTTATGTCTGGGTGATAAAGAGGTAAGGGACCACAACGATGGAATAAAGAAGGGTTTGCGAGGGATATTTAGTGAGGGAATAAAGAGCGAATAGCTAAGAAAATATAGCGAGGGAATAGCGAGACAATTGCTAGAGAAATATAGCGAGGGAATAGCGCGACGAGACAATTGCTAGGGAAATATTGCGAGGGAACAACGAGACAATTGCTAGGGAAAAGTAGCGAGGGAATAGAGAAGGTTCTGCGAGGGAATTGCGAGAGCATAGCTAAGAAATGTAGTAAGGGAATAAAGAGTTCTTTGTGAGGGAAAATTAGCAAGGGAGTAACTACAAATTAGAGACGGATATTTTGCGAGCCCTTAGCGAGGGAATAGCAGGGAAGCCTGTCCGCAATTTAGCGAGGTACATAGTAAGCATCCTTAATACAATTAGCGAGGAACTTAGTGAGGGATTGGCGACGCTATGTGCTACAGATAAGCGACGGATTTCATCCATCACTAATTAGCTACTTGTATTTAGCGAGGGAATGTTCTCTCGCGATTCCTTCACTATTTCGTCGCAAATCTGATTAGCGAGAGATTAGAGAAGAAATAGCGAGGGAATAATCTCTCGCTAATATGTAATTTTCTTGTAGTGGTAGTATAACTATGCGATAGGTCACCCATCTAGTTAAATGTGTCAATCCCTGTTGGATTCACAAGTATATGAACCTATAAAATTTGATCAATCTTGAAGGAGTAATGTGTACAAATTGTTCAAGTTCCAAGAACCTTCATGCCAGCATTTAACAATTGTGATCTCAGAATTGCTAATGTGTATGTATGAAACCAGTTAATATAGCAGTCCCACTCTCAACCAATCTTCATACCAAAAAGAAGAACTTCTTGAACCAAGACAAAGAGCAAAGTCATTCTTAAGAAATGGTAATGCTTTAAGAGTGTTTGCCTAAATACTAGCTAGCATCGAGTGACCTCTCAAATATTTATCCCACAAGACCTACACCCAAGGCTTACGTGGTGAACTCAACAACTCCCAGATTAACTTACCAAGAAGGGCTATGTTCACCAATCGTTATTCTCGTATGTTTAATCCACCACGCGCAAGCGTTTGAGTGATCGTGGACCATCCCACCAAAGACTAGAATCGAGAGCTGCAATCTTTTGCCCACAACATCAACCAACACACTTTCTTAATAATGTTGTACATACCTTGCGGGAACCACAAATACTACATACCATAAATAGGAATTGATGTTAATGTGGACTTATGAGATATAACTTATCGACTTTGTTCAATAACGACTAATCTCCCATTCACACGATCAACGACATGCTAAAAATCTTGCAACTTAGCCCTTCCTTGAATCATTAACATACCCAAATGCTTCCCTGTGCAACGATTATGGTGCATATTCAAAATTTGTTGAAACCTCTCTATTCTCATTCTTTCCACCTTTTTAGATGCCATGAATTTAGACTTGTCACAATTTACCTTCAAACCCAGCACATCTCAAAAGTCCTCCAAGGTTGAAGTTACAAGTTGCACCTGTTATTCCATGGCATGACAAAATAAGAAAATATCATATGCAAATAAGAAATGAGACAAAGGTGGGCCTCCTTGTGATATTTGAATAGCTTTCCAAGACCCTTCTCTATTTAGCTCTTGGATGCGAAGAGCAAGTCTTTCCATGCAAAGCACAAAAAGGTATAGGGAGAGAAGATCCCCTTGTCTAAGACCCAAAGAAGGTTGAAGGGGTTGCAATTTTCCTCCATTCCAAAGCACTAATAGCATAGAGTTCTCAACTCTTCACATGAACAGTTGAATGATACAAGTAGGAAAACCAAATCTATGTAGGATAACTTGAGGAAAATCCCAACTCTCTATCATATGCCTTTTCAAAGTCAATTTTCAATGCCATAGTTCCCATAATAGTTTTATCTTTAGATATAAAATGGAGAGTCTTTTGTGCAAGGATATTATTATCAAGTACTCCTCTCCTTGATATGTAACTTCCTTGGAAAGGTCCAATGATATAATGGAGGTAAGGACACAGTCGTGCCACTATCAATTTCAATATAACCTTATATACCACATTACACAAAGTGATTGGGTAGAAGTCTTTAAGGTTATACGAGCTTTCTATCTTCGAGATGAGCATGATTAACGTTCCAAGAAGAGATTCATCTAAGAAGCCATGCATAAATGCTTAATACACCATCCTCCAAAATTTGTCACTCACAATGTGCCAGTATTGTTTATAAAAGAAGGGTCGAAATCCATCCAACCTAGGCACCTTAAAGAATTTCATGCTCATAACAACCCTTCTAACCTCTTCTTTAGATACTAGAGCCAAGAAGGTGGCTCCCAAAACTGGAGGAACACCTAGATGCATGTCCACAAAAGCACCATGTGATTCCTTCTTGAAAAGCTCTTGATAGAAGCGAAAAGCTTCACTATTAAGGACATCTACATCTGTATGCCACATGCCATCTAGTAAAACCAAACCCTAAATCTTGTTTCTTCTTCTTCAGGCAAGGGTTTGAGCATGAAAATAACTAGTATTCCTATCACCAAACCTCTCCCTTTTTCTCTATACTTTTGAAACCCAAAAATTCTTCTTGTAGTAAAACATCATCCAACTCAGTTTAGAGAGTACCTTCCAATCGAGAAAGGCTCTCAGACTCCCCCTTCTTAAGATCTAGTTAGACCCCTTTTAACCTCGCCTCTATAACTTTTTTTCAAGTCAAAATATTTCCAAATACATTAGTGTTAAACTCTAATGCATCATTCTTGACAACTTTCAATTCATTAGGAAGGTTAGGGGTGCTCTTAATCCAAGCCTCACGGACCACCTTTTCAAATCCCTTATGTGTAGACCAAGTAGCTTGGAAATGGAATGGACGGTCTCTTTGCTTATCTTTTAGACCACCACATTGCACAAGGATAGGGCAATGATATGAATAAGCCAACACAAAATCTCTATAAAAGCTTTTAGAAAGAAATACTGCCATAATATCTCGCAAACCATTCTATCAAGCCTTTTAGCCATCATAATGCCTAGTTGTTTCTGATACTAGGTGTATCTAAGACCTTTAGAGCTAAGGTCCATCAAGGAACAATCATTCATAAGCTAAACCAACTAGGAGGCATGAGAAGGAGAGAAGTGACACCCACAAATTTATGAGCTAGAGATGACCTAGTTGAAATCTCCTAATACGAGCTAAGGCACCGCTAGTTGGCTTCTAAGACTCCTAATATGATCCCAGAGCTCTGTTCTCTAACTGAAGCTAGGACTTGCATACATAGTTGTGCATGTACACTCCTTGCAACCTTGATTGATTTAAATTGTAGCTGCCTGAGGGAAAAAATGACTCAACCATCGATATTTGACTATTTTTCTCAACTAGGATCCATATGCCTCTAGCATGGCTACTAACCTTCGCACTATGATGCAACTTATAGTTCAGATTGCTCCAAAATGAGATAACTGGCGAGAATGAGCAATGGGTTTCCAACACTATGAAAATAAAAGGTTTATGCAACTTAACCAACTCACGAAACGTTCTTTTCCC